GCTAAGGCCGAGAGAAGTAAAATGTCATTTTTATAGTCTTTTCTTGCTTGTCCATATTTTCTTTCATCTTTTATTGCTAAATTAGTTTCTAAAAATTTGTATAATTGTAATATTTAAAGTCTTTAGAGGTCAAAAACTATTGTATTTTGTTTAAGTCTCAGTCATAGTGATACATTTTCTTATAAATTAGGTTTTTTAAATTATAGGCTCAGATTTGGTTGTTTTTCATCTTGGATAATCCCAATGGTTTAAATGTGTGTTTTGATACATTTTCTTAATGAGCAAATCTCAGCTTCCTTACCTTGCAGCATGCATAGTTCTTTTGTCTCCTGATGCCAGTGCTACTCCCAGCATGCATATCCAGGACAACACTATTATGTATGTATGTATTTTTTGCTTCCAGTTCCCCATTCCTTACTCTATCAACTCACTTTATTTTTTGTGTGTCAAGTCTATTATTATATAGGGTGGTATACTTGATGATTTTCCTTACGTCTTAAGAACATAAGTTTCCTTACTTCTTGAGAACACATCTAGTGGTTTAGACTGCTAGAAATTAAAACCTTCAATTTCCTTTTATTTTCTTCATGGTTCATTGATATATTTAAGGTTTGTATTTTTATTGATTTTTCTCATGCTGATTACTTTGAGGTAGACATAATTTTTGTTTTCTTTTGGTTTTTGGTACCAGGATTGAACCAAGGGGCACTTAACCACTTAACCACTGAACTGTATTCCCCAGCCCCTTTTATTATTTATTTTGAGACAGGGTCTCACTAAGTTGCAGAGTCTGGCTTTGAACTTGTGAACCTCTTACCTCAGCCTCCCTAGCCTTTGAGATTACATGCATGGGCCACGGGGTCCCACTAATTTATTTTTTTATTTTTCTATTTTTGCTGGTACTAGTAATTGAACCCTAGCCCAGTAGATAAATTCTTAAGTCTTTTTTCTCATTTGCAGAATTAGGGTATTGGCTAAATGAGGTCTCAGAACCTGTGAATATAGGTAACTGCAATGAGTTAATCATATCGTAAGCAACTGTTTTTCTTATGTATAAGCGCTTGCGTACACAGGCACATACAAACCCTCCGCACACTTACCCTACATACCCTCCGCACACGTCAAGCATATAATATATCCAACTATAAATGAGTAAAATGAATTTAATAATTTTAACCTATTGGGTCCCTGAAATGAGTGGTAGAATCTAAATGGAGCATAGAAAAAACTACAAATAGAAGGAAAACCAAATGTTAACATTCGTTAATATTTCTCAATCTTTCTCAGAATGTTCCACTTTATCTTTAGTAGGTTAAAGGCAGATATAAGTTGAACCTTGAGATATTTGTTATCTATAAAAATATTGATGTAGCTCCTGTTTTGAATTTTATTTAAAAAATAAAAATTAGGGGCAGGCGTGGTGGTACATACCTATAATTCTAGCAATTTGGGAGGCTGAGGCCAGGAGTTTTCCAAGTTCAAAGCCAGCTTCAACAACTTAGTGAAGCTGTAAGCAACTTATGAGACTTTGCTTCAAAATAAAAACTAAAAAGGACTGGGGATATGTGTTAGTGGTTAAGCACACCTGTGTTCAAGTTCAATTCCTATACAAAAGCAAAAAAAAAAAAAAAAAAAAAACAAACAGAGAGAGCGAGAGAGAGAGAGAGAGAGAGAGAGAGAGAGAGAGAGAATTGGGGTGGGAAATGTAGAGCCAAACTTGGAAAACAGTATCTATAAAAAAAAGCATGCAAGATTTACTGGAGACCTAATTAATACTGTATATAAATCTGGGCTAGAGCTGACATTTTGGTAAAGAATGTTGTTGAGATGATTAATTAAATTAGAATATGGACTGTGAATTTGATAATAGTAATGTACTTGCTCAATTTTCTAAATTTGGTCATTTTACTGTGATTATTTAAGATAATTCTTTCATTCTTTTTTTTAATATTTATTTTTTATTTGTAGTTGGACACAATACCTTTATTTTATTTATTTACTTATTTTTATGTGGTGCTGAGGATCGAACCCAGGGTCTCGTCGTACACACTAGGTGGGCGATCTGCCGCTGAGCCACAACCCCAGCCCCAAGAATTCTTTCATTCTTAGAAGTACACACTGAAGTGCTGAAGAATAAAGGGCAATATATAGTTCAGATAATACATAAATTTGTATTATAATAAATTTGTTAATTCATTCATTTATATATTTATTTTATTTATTAATCAGCATATGACCCTGGATTCTTAGTAATATAATTTTTTTCTTCCTCCACTTTTCTTCCTTCAGGTATGATTATTGTTCATGTTCTTTTATAACATTTTGAATGACTTAAGTCTCAGTTTTAAATGGAGCACAAGTGTGAATTTGTCAACATATTATGGATTGTAAAGATATGTGGTTTTTAGTTCTTTTAAATGAACAGTTTTTGGTTTGTTTTAGAGCCTGTAGTTCTATACATAGTAGTTGGATTCCTCGGACAGAATCATACGTACATCTCTCTTTTCTCTTTCCCTTTCCTTTCTCCCTTTTCTCTCCTGTTCTCCCTCTCCCTGTTCTCCTTCCTTTACTCTGCAAGACTTCTTTTGGCTTGTCTATTTATTTATATTTGATTGATTTTTTAAAAATTTATACATAAAGATGAATATATAAACAGTGGTAATGTATGTACTTAACATGATTTTTTTAAGAATTCATTCCACTTTGACTTCCCTCTCCCATTCTTCTTCTCTGCCTGTTGATCTCCTTCTACAATACAGATCTTCCCTATATCTTTATGTTTTAATTAGCTTTTTTGCTGCTGTGATCAAAAGACCCAACCAGAACAACTGTAGAGGAGGAAGAGTTTATTTGAGAGCTCATGGTTTCAGAGGTCTTAGTTCACAGCTGGTTCCATTCCTTGGAGCTAGAGGTGAGGCAGGCATTATGGTAGAAGAGTGTAGCAGAGGGAGGTGGCTCACATGATGATCAGGAAGCAGGGACTTCACTCTTCAGATACAAAATATATACCCTGTAGTCATGTCCCCAGTGAGCCACTTCCTCCAGCCATAGCCTACCTGCTTCTAGTTACTGCTCAATTAATCCCACCAGGAATTAAGTGACTGATTAGGTTAAGGCTATAGCCCAATCAATCATTTCTCCTCCAAGCCTTCTTGCATTGTCTCACAATTGAGATTTTTGGTGATACTACATCTAAATCTTAATACTTTATAATATTCTATCCTTTCTTGTTTTCCTTTATTTTACTCTAGTTTCCACATAATGAGAGAAAACATTAGACTTTTGAGTTTGTGAGTCTGGCTTATTTCACTTAGCATGATGTTCTCCATTTCCATCTGTTTACCAGCAAATGCCATACTTTCATTTTTCTTTATGACTCAGTAGAATTTCATTGTGTATATATACCACAATTTCTTAATCCATTCATCTATTGAAAGGCATCTGAGTGATTCTGTAATTTAGTTGTTGTGACCTGTGCTGCTACACATTGAAGTGCCTGTATTGCTATAGTGTGCTGATTTTAGTTCTTCTGGGAAAATACTGAGGAGTGGGACAGTGGGTCATACGGTGGTTCCATTTCTAGTTTTTTAGGAATTTCCATACTACTTTCCAAAGTGGTTGTACTAGGCTACAGTCCCACCAGCATTGTACAAGTGTACCTTTTCCCCACATTCTTGCCAGCATTTATTATTATTTATATTCTTGATCATTGCCATTCTGACTAGAGTAAGATGAAATCATAGCGTTGTTTTGATTTACATTTTCCTGATTGCTAGATATGCTGAACATTTTTTCATATATTTGTTGGCCAGTTGTGTTTCTTCTTTTGAGAAGTTTCTGTTTAGTCTTTTGGTCATTTATTGATTTTTTTAAATTTTATGCTGTTAAATTTTTTTAGTTCTTTATATATTCTGGATACTTATCCCCTTTCGGGGTTGTAACTGGCAAAGATTTTCTCCCATACTATAGCTCTCTCTTCATACTCTTGTTTCTTTTGCTGTGCAGAAGCTTTTTAATTTCTTGATTCTTGGTTTTATTTTTTGAACTTTAGGGATTTTGCTTGAGGAAGTTGGTACCTGTACCTGTATGATGAAGTGTTGACCTTATGTTTTCTTCTAGCAGTTGCAAGGTTTCTTGTCTAATTCATAAGTTTTGATCCATTTCACTTGACTTAATGTGCAGGGTGAGAGATAGGGATCTAGTCTCATTTAATTTCTATGTTCTTGATATCAAGTTGTCCCTGAATCTTTTATTTAAAAAGCTGTCTTTTCTCCAAAATATAATTTGGGCACTTTCATCAGGTGTCAGATAGCTGTAAGTATGTGGTTTGTCTCTGTGTCTTCTACTCTGTTCCATTGGTCTTCATATCTGTTTTGATCCCAGCACTATGCTGTTTTTGTTACCATAGCTTTGTAATATAATTTGAGATCAGGTATTATGATGCCTCCTGCTTCACTCTTCTTGCTTAATACTGCTTTGGCTATTCTGATTCTCTTATTTTTCCAAATGATTTCAGAGTTGTTTTTTCTAATTCTGTGAATAATATCTCAAATGAACATTTTGGAGGGGGTTTACTAGGGATTAAACTCAGGGGCATTGGACCACTGAGCCACTTTCCCAGCCCTATGTTGTGTTTTATTTAGAGACAAGGTCTCATTGAATTGCTTAGGGACTCGATAAATTGCTGAGGCTGGTTTTGAACTCATGGTCCTCCTGTGTCAGCCTCCTGAGCTGCTGGGATTACAAGTGTGCACCACCACACCCAGCTCAAATGAACAGTTTTTGTGGTTTTTTCTTTTAACATTTAAAAAAATTTTTTTAGTTGTAGGTGCGTACAAAACCTTTATTTTATTTTTTTTGTGGTGCTGAGGATCGAACCCAGTGCCTCACACATACAAGGCCACAACCCCAGCCCTCAAATGAACAGTTTTAATCATCATGAAAATTAGAATTTTTTTTTAATCTAAAATGTGAGTAAATTATCTTTTTTTTTTTTATAGATTGAAGCTGAATTTTGGGACATGGCCACTGCTTCACCAAGGTCTGATACTAGTAATAACCATAGTGGAAGGTTACAGTTACAGGTAACTGGTAAGTAATTTTTCTAATAATTTAATATGGTGATTCTCTGATGAAACTTTTTTTCAAATATTCAGTTCAGCAAATTTATTCCATAATTGATGCTCTTGGAAAATACCAAACTTGGACCTATATTAAATAGTACCAAGTTTTAGTGCTTTACTTTACTTTTCTCTTCACCTTTTCTTAATTTTATTAAAAATAAAAACTACCTTATAAAATCCACAGCCTTACTGACTTCGCAGTATCTTGTGTCATACATATTAACCTTCTGACTAATCAGTGAGGAAATTTGTGAATCAGAGGAATTAAGTACCTTAGTAAAACCAACTAAGACCTTAGGACTCCCAAGTTGTTGCTCTTTTTATTAGATGAACAGTAATGTCTGTATTTCTTTTTCTTTTTTTCTTTTTTTGAAGAATCAAATCATGTCATGATAAAAGCCCCTCTGCTATTGCAGTGTGGCACTTTACTGTTTGGAAACTGAGGTGTACTTCCCTGAACTAACTTATTTTTAAAATCCTAATTTATTTTTATTGTGAGCATAAATATTTTTATTCTTATTTCTGTTCATAACCCACATCTGATTGCAAATAACAAATAAGAATAAGAACAGTGGGCTGGGGGTGTATCTTAGTGATAAAGTGCTTGCTTAGCATATCCTAGGTCCTGGGTTCAATACCCAGTACAGAGGAAGGAAGGAGGGAAGGGAAATCAGTGAGCATGGAAAGCAGGAAAACTATAATAGAAAGAATCAAACAGAACATTACCTACTATAATAATGACACGTGCTATTTTATACAATGGACATAATCATTTGACTATTTGAGGTTGAAAAATTAATGGGCTTTTAAAAATATATTTTAAATTTTTTACCTGTTAGGTTTTCTTGTAACTTAATTTCAATTTTTAAGATAAAAAATTTAAGTCATTATTTTTGTATTAGTGGTGTGAATTATAAACTTTTCAACTACTTCAGCATACATGTAGGGAATAATCTCTCTTTTCCGGTTGATGTGAAATATCTTGTTCTATTCTCTTCATTTCTCTTATATCACTGTCAGACTATTGTATTTTTTTCATATAATACTTTAAAAAGTAGAGAGAGCTGGACATAAGGATGCCTGCCATAATTCTAGCTACATGGGAGGCTGAGGCAGAAAGATTACAAGTTTGAGGCCAGCCTGGACAACTTAGCAGTATCCTGTCTCAAAATTACAGAAGGGCTGGGGATGTAATTCAAATGTAGAGTGCCCTTGGTTTAATCCCCTGTAACCCTATCCCCATAATTGGAGAAATCTTTTATTACATTCCATTTTATGCATGCCTTCACTGTTCTCTAATTTTTTTGCCTTTCTTTTGAATTTGAGTCTTAATTTCCTTTTCCTCTGCCCCCACCAAAAACACTCAACACCAATATGTTGTTGTTTTTATTTTAAAGTATTGTATTAAGTTGGAGGTAATTGAAATCTTTAAGTGTTAAAATTTCAAAATCCAACAATGTATCAAGTCATTCTCTTTTATGTCAGTAAAGCTTTATATATATGGGTGTGTATCCTATACATTTCTTAAATATATGACTATTTTTTAAAGGGAGGTTATTGTGAGTGGAGTTTTAATATTAACACCCATTGTACCCCTTTCTGATAGTTTTCAGTTTTTATATAACCTTGTGTTATAGGACATTCTGTGTATAAATCTAAAAGAAAACTTATTAAATGGGAAAATAAAATTATTCTATATATTTCCACTAGTACGAACTCTTGATTGGAATAATTTGTCTTTGGCTATTTAAATCATAGTATTGTGTTTATTTGCACCTACTTGCCAGCATATTATAATTTCTTTGTGAAAATAAAAATCATTTTTTTAAAAAAATCTCTTTCCTTATTGAGCACTCTATCAATTAAAGGTATACAATGGATGTATTTTGGATGGTTCTGTAGTTAAGTCAGACAAGTTAATACTTATACGATCAGTAATAATAAATAGAGTAATAGTCACCGTGTTGGGTGCCAGGAATTCGTTGACAATGATGGTGTTTTGCAGTTTAACATGCCCTCACTCACCAATCCTAAGAATCAGATTCTATGGTTTTCCTGTTTATGATGAGAAAATTGAGGTCAATTGATTTCTTTTAAGGTCAAGCTTCTAGTAATTGGAAGAGTTAAAATATGAACACAGATAAATTACACCCTGTGCTTTTAACACCTTTCTACGTTGCATTCCCCTTCTTCCTGTTTTCTTCTAGTGTATGGATAAAATCTGCATATACTGAGGAAATGACACTTTTATTTGGAATGAAAAAGCTTATTTGCAAGATACCTTGAGAGAGAGCAAGTCTGGGTCTTTGACATCAGTCCAGTGGTGTTGAAACTTAGAGCAACTTGGAACAGCCAAGGACGGAAATGAGTTTTGCCAAGACCCTGAGAGTAGTTCTTCAGACATAACAGTGCACATTCTTTGGTAGTGCTGTGTTGCCAGTACTTAAATACAATATTTGCCTTGAATATTCCATTATTCTTCAAATATTGAGGACTACTGTATTTCAAACACAACCTCTGCTGAAGTACTTATTACACTGTATTTCATCAGTTTGTTTATACAACTATTCTCTCACTATAAAATGGAAATTACATAGCTGGTGTATTTCATATCCTTAAACATCCCATGTATATGACATGGAGGAGGCTTTGTCTTTCTGTTCATAGGTGATTGATGATAGAAGTGATTTTGATAAGATATTTTACTGTTTGGTATTCAGCATTTTGCCCTGAAAGTAGGTAGTCCCCTATTTAGATTAGTAGTTTTAAACATTAAAGTAAAATGTTTAAATTAATTCCTTTATATCTTGTGTAAATCAGATTTAAAATTCACATTTTGTAAAGGGTTATGAACTTTTATAATCACATTTTGATTTTTAAAGTTTGTATTTGAAAAAGCAGATATTTCTTTTTTTTGAAACCATCGTTCCAGGTGAAACATTTATTTTTAACAAGTGCAACAGTTACATGATGAATACCATTTAGAAGGTAACATCCATTTAGAAGGGATGTTAACAGGCATGTTAAATCTGTAGACACTTTTTTCTTGAGCATTGATGAAGTTTAGAATTAAATTCAATAGTAAGTAAAAATATGGAGAAATCAGAATCTTCATACACTTTGATAGGAATTTACTCAGCAGAGACTTACTATGTTAGCAAGCAATTTCACTTCTAATATGCCTAAGGGAAATTTCATACACAAATTTATAGAAGCATGAGGCAAAACAGCCAAAATGTGTGAACAATTCAAATGTCTGTTAATGGGAGAATACATAAATAAAATATGATATGTCCGTATAATGGAATGTTATTTGTCAGGAAAAGAAGTACTGATGCATGTTACAACATGGATAAAACTGGAAAACACTATGCTAATTGAAAAAAGGCAGTCCCAAAAGACCACGTGTATGATGATTTCACTTATATGAAATGTCCAAAATAGAAAAATCTGTAGAGATAGATGATAGATTAGTGGTTGCCTAGGGCTGCAATAGGATTGGGTAGTTGGAAGGAAACAGAGGGGTTACTACTTAATGATATGAGTTTCTTTTGGGGGTAACAAAATTGTTTTAAAATTGAATGTGGTGATTTTTAAATGCAATTTGGTGAAGATGTTAAAAATCAATGAATTGTGCCATTTAAATGGATGAATATATGGTTTGTGAATTATGTCTCAATAAAACTTAAAAAGTCAAATGATTCTCAGGTATTATCAGTAGCCCTTTTGTATTATGTCTAAATTTCGCCAATAAGAAGAGTTCTAGTTGTACAACAAATACAGTTCCATTTTTAATGGTATATTAGTAGGCAATCCTACTTTTTAACTATACATATTCAATAGTGATCATCATTTTTCTGTTAGTTTCTAGTGCCAAACTAAAAAGAAAAAAGAACTGGTTTGGAACAGCAACATATACAGATGTAGTTGTAGATGGAGAAATTAAAAAAACAGCCAAATCCAGTAGTTCTTCTAATCCAAAATGGGATGAACAGCTAACTGTGTAAGTACTTTGCAAAATTTTCAAGAGAGTTGTGCTTCTATTTTATTTTCTTATAAAGGAAGTGTACTAATTCTTGCCTTTTTTATTAACTAATTTCCACATAGCCTTATTTTCTCTGAATGTCTTATAAATAAATTGGTATTCCTTAATTCTGGCATTTGTGATATAATGGTATAAATTTATAAAAAAGTTTACATAAAGTATTATAACTAAATGCCATCATTTAAAAAAAATCTTCAGAAATTTATTCCAATAGTAACAGCATTATTGTGAAATCTCAGTATACTCTCAGTGTATTGCCAGTGTTTTGATTTGCTAGCCACAAAAAATTCTTATCTAGAATGTACTTAAAATATTTTAATTCATAATTCAGACAATTTACTATTTCATACAATATTAAATAAACTAAGTTCCCAATTTAAAATATTATTGAAATAAATGGTTTAGAGGGATTACCACTTAGAATGATGATGTATACTTCTATATTTTTGTTATAATTTTACCCTTGCAGAAATGTGACCCCACAGAGTACTTTGGAATTTCGAGTTTGGAGCCATCACACCTTAAAAGCAGATGCTTTATTAGGAAGAGCAACGATAGATTTGAAACAAGCTCTGTTAAAGCACAATAGAAAATGTAAGTTTTTGTTCTACTTTTGTTTCTTCATAAGTTTCAGACACTGAACATACCTTAAAGTCCAAAAGCAAAAAACATTTCTGTATTCTTAAAGAGAACTTTACTTCTTGCCTGTAATTACTTTTAAGTTTGTGGCATTATATAAAGCAGGTAATATTGACCCTAGCCTCTTGGCATCCTATAGATTTACAAAAATGACTTCAGTTATCCACAAATACCCTGTTATCAGTGGTTGTCAGCCATTTATTGTTTACTTAATATATACTTTAAATATTAAAAAAATCATCTGAGCCTATTCTGCTTTGTTTTTTGACTAATAACAACTTTATTGGAATATAATAAACTCTAACTTTAAAAATTTCTTTTTCATTTATAATCAATTCATTGCAGAAAACATGGAGAATTTAGAAAAGTCACAGAATAGTATAGTTATCTGTAATTCTTCTATCCAAGGTCAGAAAACAGCTGACCATTTTAAAGGAGACTATTGCAACTAAGGAACTTACTTTAAATTGTATTTCATTTTATTTAAATTTAAATAGCCTTATATGGCTAGTAGTTACCATGTTGGACAGTACAACCTCTACTTTTTGTTTGTTTGAATTGTAAAATTAGAATTTAGTCTTGCTTTTTTTTTAAAGAAAAAATAATTTTTATTCTCAATACTTATTTTTTAGTTGTAGTTGGTCACAATACCTTTATCTTATTTATTTTTATGTTGTGCTGAGAATCAAATCCAGGGCCTTGCATATGCTAGGCACTCGCTCTACCACTGAGCCACAACCCCAGTCCTAAAATCCCAATTTTTAAACATTACCTTTAGTTATGAGTTTAGATCACTTGAACACCATTCTAAACTATAGAAGTTATTTAGTTACCTCTGCAAAGATGTGTGGTCTTATTAGCTTTCTTTTCCTTATGTCATCAGCATCAGATACTGATATCTAAGACTTATTTTACCCTCTTTGTTTCACTGTTTCATAAGTAGATTTAAATCGGTAATACACTTTTGTAAAAAGGAGGAGTCATTTTAAACTAAACTGAACTTTAGTTTGTACACAGGTGATAAGACATTTTAAAGGGAAAAAGAGTTGGTTTGAGCAGGAATTCAGTAGTCAGGAAAGTGAAAAATTACCAAAGATTGATCAGCATAGTTGCAACTTGGCCAAATATGTATGGCAATTAGCAATGTTAGGATTCTGTCCTCCCAGAGAGACAGAGATTTGCCTTGTCTTTTCTGATCATTACATTTTAAAAGAATTGCTTTCAGGTCCTTGAAAAACACACTCCAGTTTGTAGGAGAGAAAAGAGAGACACTTGGTTATAAAAGCCATTCCTACTTTTGCCTTTGTCCCTTGTATTACTCACTTTGAGAGACTCTTAGGAAGCACTGAAGTCTCCTTTCAACATCTAGCACTAACTTGCCAGATGTGTGTGGGCTCCTATTGAGTTCCTTGGTTGTAGAAGCTATGAACAATAAGTGGTTTTTGTTACTTTAAGCTACTAAATTTTAGGATAATTATTGCTCAACAATAAATAATTAATACATTATCCTAGCAGTTTAGAAAAACAGTTTCAGTATGAGTGTGAGCTAAATATAAAGCACCTTAAAAACAAAGATTTTTGAAAAACTTTTGTTTCTCTAGGGAAAACACATATTTTCAACAAGTTCGTGATTATAGGATAAATCATTGACTTATTTACCTAGTTCCTCAGTGTCTCAGATTATTCTTTTGCTCTTCTTAAGCTAAGGAAGAATGTCTAAGTAAGAAAAAAAACCTACTTCTGCCTTATAAGAATAAATTTCCCTTGGGGCTGGGGATGTGGCTCAAGCGGTAGCGTGCTTGCCTGGCATGTGTGCGGCCTGGTTTCGATCCTCAGCACCACATACAAACAAAGATGTTGTGTCCACCGAAAACTGAAAAATAAATATTAAAATTCATTTTCTCTCTCTCTCTCAAAAAAAAAAAGAAAAAAAAAGAATAAATTTCCCCAGGACAGGACTGTCTTAATCACTTAAATGTTTATTAAGTGCCTGCCTTCTGTCAGATGCTGAGAATACATCTCTGAATTAGATGGACAAGATCCCTTTGCTGTGTTGGAACCTTCAGTTCATTTGGGGAGGTAGATCAGAAAACAAATCAATTCTGGTGGTGGTGGTGGTAATTCCATTAAAGGAATGGTAGGGTGTTCTAGTTGTATTGGTCAGAGATCAGTCTTCCCCAGAGAACTGTGCCTGCCACAGAATAGGTACTCACATATTGAATAGATGAATATATCCAAGTTTCTGTGTTAATACTGTGATGGAATAATACTGTTATCTCTCTATAAATATATAAACATATACATGTAAGTGGGAATTATTTTTTTACCTTTATTTTATTAATTTTTATGTGGTACTAAGGATTGAACCCAGGAATTTGCACATGCTAGGCAAGTACTCTATCAATAAGCCACAACCCCAGCCCTAAGTGGGAATTATTTATGTGATAGTAGTTATATGATTCAGAGTATTTTACTTCAATCTTACATGTTCAGAATTGTGAAATATATGCTGTAAAGAACCTCCTATCACAGAAAGAACAACTAGATCCTAGACAGAACAAATCTTTGTGACATTGATGATTTGCAAAAAGACAGAGGTCCCTCCTTGAAATAAAGGGCGAGCAAAGAAAATCTTTTCCTAGTAGCTTCCATGTTGGACAGTACAATCTAAGCTTTTTTGTTTGAGTTGTAAAGTGGAATTAGAATAGTAGGCCACGCTCATAGCAGCTTTCAGAATACCAAGCTTTTGTTTAGTAGCCATATAGGGGACCTGACCCTGAACTCCTCCAATCTAGACTCTTGGGAGTACCTTAAAATTTCTGGCAGAATTACAAACAAAGCACAACTGTGTTAAAGCCCAGAGATTACCTATAAACTAAATTGGAGAACAAGCTCCTGTCAAAAATTACAGAATATAAGAACAGATATTTTCTAGAAAGATCTAGATACTAAATATTTAAGCTTTATAGGCCAACAGTTTCTGTTGTACTGATTCAACTCTTCTGCCCTTGTAGAGTGAAATTAGCCATGAAAAATATGTAAATGAATGGGTGTAGCTATATTCAGATAAAACTTTACTTATAAAAACAGGTGACTTTTTTTTTTGGTAGACTTTATTTATAAAGGTAGGCTAGATTTTGAAGTATGGACTGTAATTTGCTGACCCCCAAACTAGAGGAGATATTTTAAGGGATAATGATAGCAAATTTCTGAATAATAATGAAAAACATGATATTATCCCAAATAAAATAGCAAAGAGAAAGTCATGTTTGGACATACTATAGTGAAATTCAAGACACCAAAGACAGGTTTTAAAAGGATCCATGGAGATAAAACAAGTTATTTGCAAAGATTTATAATTTAGAATTGTAGAATTAACAGCAGATAGGGAAAGATAGTGAAATAGTATCTTTCTTCAGAGATTTGGAAGATCATTATCAATATAAAGTTTGCAAACCAATGTGATTCTGCAATCTATATACAGGGTAAAAATGGGAGTTCATAACCCACTTGAATCAAATGTGTAAAATATGATATATCAAGAGCTTTGTAATGTTTTGAACAACTTATAATTTAAAAAAAAAAGAAAGTAGTTCTACTTTAATTGAGATGAATAAGAAAACAACAGAATTGGACTGGATAGGTAACAGATGATGTCACTTTTAATGAAGGAAGGTGACATCATAGCATGCCTCACAAATGAATCTTGCTCTGTGATTCAGAAAAAGAAATGTGTTTGGTTTGGGTTATCACAAATCCTTCAATGTCCATACCTGCTCAGGACAGATACCCCTGAAAAAAAAAAAAAAAGTTTGCATATCCAACAAATCTGTCTTTCTAGGATGAGAATGCACACAATTAATAGACAAATGAATCAGAATTTACACAGAGATCTATATTAAAAAATTTCAAAATGCTGGGTTTTTTTAGTAATATGTTCAAATAGCTAAATATTTTATGAAAGAGAGCCCAGTCTCTTTCTGGGCACTTTAAATGGAGGAAGATAACATCAATGAAATAGAATGTTGGTCAATATAGTTTTCTTCAGAGAGATTATTAGATAAAATTGAAGTTCATTCTTTTGTAGGTTTTTTTTTGTGTGTGTGTGTGTGTGTGTGTGTTTTTGTATTTCCCCTAGTTTCATTAATTGCTTTTGATTTAGAATGGAGATAAGGCTAATTGTACTACAAATAGTTGGATAGGTATTCTATAAGGTCTTCCTTAATTACATGGTTCTTCAATTGTTTTGAAAAGAATTCCTGTCCAGTATTAGTTGTAAATTTTTGTCTTTTCTGTACATGGATAGGTACTCAAGATGTTTGTTGTGGATGTTTTGTAAATGGGGGGAGGGACTCAAATTTGTTAAATATAAGCAGTATCAAAGTTATGAACTTTAAGATGTGAAAAGTTCCATGAATTCAGTAGCTTCAGAAAGCCACTAAAGAGGGCTGGAGTTGTGGCTCAGTGGTAGAGCGCTAGCCTCACATGTGTGAGGCACTGGGTTCTATTCCCAACACAATAAAAAAATGAATGAATAAATGGGTTCTATTCCCAGCACAATGAATGAATGAATGAATGAATGAATGAATAACCATTGACAACTAAAATATTAAGAAGAAGAAAGAAAGTCACTAAAGATCAGACTGAAGTAACTGACCCCATTTTGGATACTAAAGTGATCATTGATGAATTTTTAATTTTAAATTTTTAAAAATTCTGAGTTGAGAGTTTTTAGTTGTATATATTTGTGTGATACAAGGTATGATGATTTGTAAATAAAATGTGTAATAATTAAGCTAATAAACATACCTGTCACTTCACCTCAAATACCACTTTTTGTAGTGAGAAAATTTGAAAGTTAGCCTTTTAGTGATTTTGAAATGTGTAATGTTATTATTTATGATATTCACCACACTGTACAGTGTATTTCAAAAGAAAAAAATCTTATTTCTTCTAATTGAAACTTTCTACCCTTGCACTGTCATCTTCCCATGTCTTCTGCCCCATACTAATAACTTTTAATACGTTGTATGATAGAAGTTGGTATGAAATCACTTGAATTTCATTCAGTTACAGCTAGGTCCTCCAATAATGGGAGTGAAGTGTCTGACTAATGTAAAAAGAAATAACAAACTATTGTCACAGTACTTAGCATTTAGTGAGCACTAACTGTGTTAGGTGTGGTGCTAGTGCTTTCTATGTGGCTTTACATTAGGTCTTTATGACTGTTCCTAGAGTTTGAAGCTCTTATTATTTCCATTTTGTGACAGGGAAACAGGCTTTAAGAAGTTAGAATAACTTTATTCAGAGTCCCCCTAGTTGGTTGCAGAGTTGGAATTTGTAACAGCATCACCTAATTCATGTTCTCTGAAGTTCGTCCTGTACATGGAAGTAATGAAAGATGATGTTGAAAGTATGGGGTTGGGGGAGAAGAGTTACTTAACAAGGTATGAAAGAGAATGATCTTGGTGTAGTATAGAAGGAACTACAGATAAAAAAAGCACAAAAATTACTTCCAAATGTAACTGTCAGGTACTGAACTTAAGAGTAATTCTTGAAATGTAATTTTGATTTCTAAAACATTTTTGTATGTGACAAAAGCTTTTAAATTACGATATTTTTTTCTAGTGGAAAAAGTGAAAGAACAATTAAAACTTTCTTTGGAAAACAAGAATGGCATAGTGCAAACTGGTGAATTGATAGTTGTGCTTGATGGATTGGTGATTGAGCAAGAAAATCTAACAAACTGCAACTCATCTCCAACTAGTAAGCTGACTATGTGTTTTTAAAATTTAAAGGAAAAAATTGCCAAGGAGTATATAAAAACCTAGAGTGTTTGTTTCTTCTTATTCAGTAGAAATACAGCAAAACGGTGATGCCTTACATGAAAATGGAGAACCTTCTGCAAGGACAACTACCAGGTAGAATATTTTATTTTAGTGTTTGAGATGATATGATAAAACATTTCCCATGTATGACGTTCTAAATTTTAAACTTAGTTTAGAATTTGCCACATAATTTAATAGCTTATATGTGAACTTGTTATTTGTTGAATGCTTATGAGCATAGCTTTATAAAATAATGTTTTATTGAGATACAATACACGTACTACAGAAGTCACTCTTACAAAGTACATGTTTCAGTGGAATTTAGTATTTTCACAGATGGCCAACTATGATCACTGATTTCAGAACATTCTTATCACCACCCCAAGAAGAAACTATAGCCATGAGTAGTTACTCACTCCCAATTCCTCCTTCCTCCCAGCCTCTGTTATCCAGGAATCTACATTCTCTCTCTTTTCTATTCTAGCCATTTCACATTAAACGTTCATATAACGTGAACTTTTTTGACCAGCTCCTTTGACAAAGCATAATGTTTCAGGGTTCATCGTTTATGTTGTATCTTGTTAATGCTTCATTCTTCTATTGAAATGTCCTTAAATCTATATTTAGGCCTTTTTATTGGTAAATAGAGTCAGATATTGTGGGAAAATCATATGTTTTATTGGAATTGTCATTCTCCTGTATATTATGGTCTTCCTACAAAAATCATCCTGCCATTTCAAAAGCTTCCTGGCATTCACATTTCATGACAGTTGAGATTCTTTGGTTGAAGTATCTAAAGTGCAATGCAAGTGAATAATAGATGTATATTGTGAAATTAAAACCTGAAAATATAGAAATATATTACTATAAAATTGATTAGGTACATTTGAAAAGGTTTGTTGGTAAATGCGAAAGTTTTTACAAAGTTATTAATAGCACTGTTCCTAAATTGCCATTAAATGATTCTCATAAAAACACTTTGAACAGGTAAGTACACCTTCTAGAATGTATATTTGTCTTAAATATATTTGGTATCCACATTATAATTTACAGTGAGAAAATTAATGACTAAAAGTGGACAACATAGGTTGATTAAAATTATTAGCGTGTGAAATATGTCTTTTTTATTCTTTAAAGTATAATTTTAGATAGTGGAACTTGAATGACTACCAATCTAAAACTTAATATTGTTTATTCATAGTAACGCATTTAAATTAAGGATAGTTTCTACAGTACTAGGAGGATTTCAGATGGATTCTCTCATCTCACTCCTGAATCACTCACTGATTCTCACTAGGTAGCTGTGGAGGGGTACACAAATTAGATTCATTTGGAAGCTTTTCTCAGTACCTATTAAAACTTCCTAAATATATCTCATAGGTGACAAGGGAGAGGAGGATTTAAGAGATGCTTATTGAGTGCCTGTTCAGTACCAGACACTAGTCCAAACACTAAGAGTACCAGATCAGTTCCCAAGAAATTTACATTATGGTGGGATAGATGTTGGTATTAGACTACAGAATAAATAAATAAGCTAACCGAATATAGCGATAAGAACTGTGAAATAATTGAGGTAGGATGGAGGTTACATGAATGGAGAAGAACCTATTTTAAAGAGAGAGATCAGGGAATCGTCTCCAAGAAAGTCCCATTTGTGCCAAAATTAAATTAAAAAGCTAAGAAAACTTTCCATACAGAACTCTGAGGGGCAGAACAAGTTCAAAGGCTTCGAGTTTATTTGCAGCTAACTTCTTTTCTACAGATTCTTTTAATTCTAGAGTATAGTTAACCTTTTCCAAAAATCTTATTATAATTCTAGTCTGGTATATAATAATTTAAAATGCACATTTGAACACTTTTCATACTTAATAAAATTGTTATACTATATTTTTTGCAAGGTGAGCAAGAAACTTGGAGAAAAATAAGTCAGGGACATAGATGGGGTGGGAAATGTGGCTGATTTTCAAAAGCTTTTTTGACTAAGGTAAGAAGCCTAGATTTTATTCCAGATTTTAAATCCCTAGATTTAAGCAGGGAAGGGACAAGATCTGATTTGTATTTTAAAACAATACTTAGGCTGCTTGGTGGATGTAGGGTGTCCTATATATTTGGAAAAGCTTTCCTGGCCACTTCTAAAATATTACCAACTCCTCCCTATTGGCAACAGGATTTAAAATATTTGATTTTGTAGTTCTAGTTTTTATTTATTTGTTTATTTGCAATTAATTTATATATCATAAATTTTTATAATTCTGGCGTATAATAGTTAACTTTCTGTGATCATCGTACACTCAAAATTTTATTGTTTACTACAAAATACTTTGTAATGAATATTAACAGACATTTCAGCTTTTTTATTATTCAATAAAATTATAAGCTTAAAATTGGTTTTTATAAATTTTATGAGTTTTTTGAAACTACAGAGAATTAAAAATAGGTTAATATTCTTATACTGAAATATTAAAATGTACAACTGGATCATTATTTTAAGAGCCTGATTTATTTGAACTTAGTATATTTTTATATCAGTATATTTTTGCTTGCTAGTATTGTAATACTGAAACTTCAATAATAATAGTAGGCCATATCTTTGTTCATCACACTTAATACCTATCACTTTACTTGAATGTTAAGAACTCAGCAAATGTTTTTCATGAACATTCTAATGAAAAGTTGTTTAATTATACTTATTGAAGTAAGACTTTTTCTTTTTAAAGGTTGGCTGTTGAGAGTAGCAATGGAGTAGATAATCACATACCTACCAATACTGTTGTCCAGAACTCATGCTGTTCGTATGTAGTTAATGGAGACAACACACCTTCATCTCCATCTCAGGTTGCTGCCAGACCCAAAAATACACCAGCCCCCAAAGCACTCACATCTGAGCCTACTAATGACACTGGTAAGTGTTGCTATTTATGACATATTGTTTGAATGTAAACTAAATTAAGTTTATTTGTCTTTGCCTATGTTTCCCTTATTCTACAGTCTTTCTTAATCTTCTATTCTGATAGTAATTTTTAAATTGTAATTCCTGAATTTTTTCTGAATTTAAATTTTTCTAGATTATTTAGGATGATATTCCAAAAATATATTAGAGATAACAACACATTTTTCTGAGTGGTTTTATGATAGCTAGATTCTTGGGCTGTATGTCACAAAATACTGTGTAATTCATGGTATAAAATATATTTCTGAAAGAACTTTAGTGAAGCATTGATTTAATAATGAATGATTTTTTAAATTGTCTTTTAATGTGCAAGTGCTTCTTTTTAGCCTTAGTACTTAACAATGCGGAAAAAAAAAGTACTGTGGGTTGATAGAGCTATCAGAAAGTTTTATATTTAGTAAGAATTACTCTATTATAGAAGGAATACTTTAAGAATGTTTTCTTTCTAATCTTTTTTTTTGATCTGTCTGAATCTGCAACATAATATGAAACATATAACATGGTCTCTCATTCTAAGAAAGCAAATATAGTGGTGAATTTCATAGAACTCTGCTTGATGTTCTCTATCTTCAGTGTAGAATAATGATATATCTTCATAGTACAAGTCAATTAAAAGTCATCCTTTTAGTAGCCATAACAGCACATTCTAAATACTTGGCTTGCTTATGAGTGTTTGCTTAATCTTGAAGTTAAAAATTGCAATTTAAAAAATATAGTCTGAGTAAATAGCTATACAAAGACCACTCACTTTTTTTTTTTTATTTCACATAGTAAAAAGATTTATCAGAGTATCAAAAGTTCTTCACAATAAGGCATGAAGCCAATGATTTTAGTCAGGAAAGCTTTTTAAGTTATCAAATAGTTACCCATACTTAAAAAAAATGAATTGATTTATTATATGGGGCTATCTTTGGATTTAGAATGGTTGAGCCAGTTCCATTCTTTTTGGCAGTAATTAGATAGCAGGGCCAATTATTAAGTCCACTCTGAATTAACAAAAGGAATAAGATGGAAATGTTGACTGCTCATTTCAGAAAGGATTATATCACCTTTCTATATCCTTCTTGTCATCTTCATTTAAAAGAATGGATTTGAGGGTATAGCCCTTACTACTAAAACGGTTAGCTATTTGATTAAATTGGTGAAAGTATCCACCACAATTAGTTAGTTTCATGTTTTAGCACTTGGGCATAGTCAGGTGTTGATGTAAAAGGGGAAAGGAATTAACCAAGGCTCTTCTCATTGTAGGAATCTCTTATTTAAACTCCCTAGCATGTCAAATACTTCTATGGCCTCTTTCGATGGGGAATAAATTCACTTTTCACATTCTTCTCTTATCCTTGCATGGGATTTCAAGGTAAAAATAAAATATACATATGAGGAACAAGAAATGAAAGCTCTGTCATAACTAATTCCTGTGGCATTCCTAATAATTATAAGGTAATCTAGGGCATCTGAATAAAAGTAAGAATGATAGCTAACATTTGTGCTGTGCATGTTTTATATATTGCATATCCATGAAATGAATTAATGCTCACAATAACTCTTTGAAATAGATACCAGTATTTTCCTTTTTTTCCTCTGATGAAGAAACTAAAGCACAGAGAGATTACAGCTAGGAAGTAGAAGAGCTATGAGTGACATATAGCTTTGTGGCCCTCAACTGTACACTGCTTTCTTGTTCACTTTGATGTATATGGTTTTTATAGTGTCTCAAAGGGGTAGTATTCATCTTTTATACTATGGTAGGCTTCAAATAGTATTCCTCCAACCTCTTCATCTCCTCTGATTATTGTTGGTGTTATGTGACAAAACAATCCAACTACCACCATTCCGTAGGTTGGTCTACAAAGGCTTCCAGAACCTACTTTGATAGCAACCACATAACTGATGCCTTTTGTATGATTCTCATCCCTTACAAGGAGGATGAATTCAGGTATCTTTTCAAGGAATGGGTTATCCCTGCCTTTTTTAAGATGTTGGTACAAAATGGTATTTATTTTTTAAAGTAAGGATTTTAAGGTCAGTTTTTGTTGTTGGAGTCGTGGGGGTAAGGGTGTGTGTGTGTGCATATTCTATTATAACATATCTTTAATTTCCTATCTGGTGCTATAGTTTATAAGTTATTTGCCCCTCAAAGATTCATGTGTTGGAAGGTTGACCCTCAGTGTGGTAATGTGAAAGTTAGTTGGACCTTTAAGAGGTGGGACCTAGTGGGCGGGGCTTAGCTCATTGGAAGTGTGCCCTCATAGAGAATCAAGGTAGTCTTGTGGGACTCTTAAGTTAGTTCCGAAAATGAAGTGGTCATAAGTGGGAGCCTGACCAGCTAGTTACTTTCTGACTTCCTGCCTGGAAATATGATTTCTTCTCATACATGCTCTCCCATTTGCCCATGAGGTCTTTAACCTGTAAGGGTCCGGCGAAACGTCGGAGAAAGAGACCACAAGAGACTGTCTTATGCAACAACAGAAGGGTGGGTTTATTTGGAGACTAGCATGCTAGGGCCCAGAGCTCTCTATAGCAAAGAGAGATAGAGCCCTGAGAACCGCTTGAGCAGAGCTTATATACTTTTCTTGGAGAGGGCAGGGAGGGAAGTTTATTGATGGGTCAGGTCGAGTGAGCAGTTTGCCTGCAACCCAGTGAGGGAGTGCATCCTGCAGTTTGGCAGTTGGGGACAGCATATTCTGGGAACAAGTATAGATTAGCAAACAGTTCACAGTTGGGGACAACACATCCTGGGAACAAGATTTCAACAGTGTTTTGTTAAGCATATAGAAAAACAGAGTGACAAGTACCTATTTTATTAACCTTTCAAACCAAGTTGAACCGAGGTTGATGCCATGCACTTGAGCCTCCCAAACTGTGAGCTAACCATACCTCTTTCCTTTATAAAGTTACTCAGCCTTGGGTATTTCTTATTAGTGAAGATAGACTAATACAACTGTTAATTCCAAAATACTGAAATCACTAAAGTTGTTCTTTTTTGAGGGAGGGGGGAAACTCATTTGATGGCAAAATGACTAGAACTTACAAGAGGTTATTTGTAGTTTTTACTTGACATGCTTATTATGTGTATCTCTACATTTTATTGAGGAGTGTTTAATAACAATGTGTGGCCTCCAGCCTGCTCTGATATTAGTGTAATATGTAATGTATGTGTTATATAACATCTAAAGTAATGAATTCTGGAACACACCTGACTACAAGGTTTTCAGATAAGGTATGGTGGGCCCGGAGTTTAAGACATACATAAACTAAGGAGTTTAAGACATACAGTATTTTTTCACAGCATTGTAAGTCAGGGTTTTCCCCTTCCTTTCCTTTCAAGTCTTGAGTAAGAGGATCCATTTGACAGGTTGTGTGTACTAGTAGTTATGTTAGGCTGCAATGGGAAGCAGTTGTGATGTAGTAAAAAGAGATTAAATTTGGCCTCAGCCAGGACTGAGCTCAGTCACCTAACATGTTAACTGTGATGTTGGAGAAATCTTCAAAATTTAGCTCCTTCATTTATAAAGAGGTTATTACTCTTATTCAAATACCTTCTAGGACTGTATTGAAGATTGAATGAAATAGTAAGGAAAAACCATCTACTGTAGTCCTTGAACAATGGTAGGTATATATTTTACAATTTGTTCTCATACCCCTAACTTTTAGTGTGAATTGAATTTTTCTACATATTATTATTTTATTAATAGATCAGAACTCAGTATGGTAAGTTTCAGACAGAACCTATTTTATAAAATTTACTGGACTTTTTTTTTTTTGGCTTCTTGTTTTTTATTCTGAAGAATTTTTTAAATACATTGAGAGTTGTAATCTTTTCAAACTCCTTGGATAACTACATTACAAAATCAAATTCAAGAATTTGACATACATAACCATCCACAGAGCTTGTTCACATTTTCTGGTTCTACCTGTACTACCTGTGTGTATGTGTGTGTTTGTCTGTAGTTCTGCACAATTTAACTTCCATTTTAACCTTCCCCCCCCTCTTTTTTGGTGTTAACTGAGAGTTGAAAACTGGGCCTCTAGCATACTAGGCAAGCATTTTACCACAGAGCTACATCCCCAGTCCCACACTATTACCATGAGACTCCCTTGTGTTCCGTTCACTTTATAACCATAGCCTCTCTCTCAAGTGTGAATAAACTTTTAAAGAAACTTGCAATGTATGTGCAAATATCTGTTTTTCATGTCATAGTTATAAATGGGAGTAAAAATGCTATAATAGTCTATATTGTATGGCTTTGATAAAATAACTCAGTCTGGATAACTTATAAAGAAAAAAAGTTTATTTGGTTCACAGTTTTGGAGGCTGAAAGTTCAAGATTGAGTAGCCCCATTTGTTCTTTTGTGTGTGTTGGGAGAAGAAGGGGGCAACACTGGGGATTGAACCCAGGGCTAGGCAAGTGCTCTGCTGCTGAGTTATATCTCCAGCGCAAGTAGCCCTGTTTATTTGGCCTCTAGTCCCTGACTAGAGGCCAGAATGGATGACATTGTGGTAGAAGTGCATACAAAGGGGAGAGATCACTAGGCTAAATAGGAAGCCAGAGATCACCAGGCTAAACTAAGAGGTCAGGCTTGCTCTTTTATACTGACTCACTTTCTCAGGAACTCAACTGGGGTCTCAAAAGACCCACCTTTAACCCCTTCAAAGTAGCATCCCCAGTGACCCAATCTCCTGTCTCTAGATGCCACCTCTAGAGGGTTCTTCATCCTCTGAGCTACACTGAGTACCAAGCTTCTAAACATATTAGCCTTTGGGAGCCAGCACATTCAGACACTCCAGTGTTTATGGTATTCAGACACCTCCAGTGTTTCTACCTTTGTCTTTTTTACCTAAAAGACCTGTTAGAATGAGGATAGCTGCTTATCCATGAAATGGATATATCATACATCTAAAACTTCTCAAAGATTAAACATGAAATTAAGGAGGTGTGTCTTGTGACTTC